TAATGGCTCCCCACTGCCCTTGGGCTAAATTCCAAACTTAACAGGAACAAAAAAACAGTGGCTTTCAATTTCTTTGACGGAGGCTCACAGTAAGAAACCCATTTTACAACGAAGCACAGTGCACCCCTTTATCAAACTGAAAAGAAAGGCTCAGACACCACGCCGGCCTCATAGGCAACACACGCTGGTGCTTTCTGTCCTGTTCACCCCAAACCCCCAGCATGCCCCTCCCCTCATGCGTTCTGGCTGTGGTTCATCCAGTTGTCTAACTGATTCAGTGAGCAGACGTCCGAACCCTCCTTCTCCACCCCAGCTTAAGAACTCTGAGGCCTAGGACCAATGGTTAGTCTTCTGCCTCCCTGAAGCCCATGTTCTGTCACCCCGGTATTACACGCCCATGGGACACTGGGCTTTTGCACATGCAGAGTTCCTTCAACATAGAGCACTGTTTCTGCTGTCTAACTGGTATAGCCAAAGGCCACCTCCTGGGGGAGACTGCCTATCCATCTACCCCACATCACCCTGACTACCTTTGGGTCCTCTCTTCACATTTCACTCACCTTTAGACTTTAAAAAAATAGTATCTGGGCCCACTTCAGACCAACTGAATCAGACATGTCTGGGTATTAAAAAAAAAAAAAATTCAGGCCAAGGAGATGTCTCAGTGGGTAAAGCAAGAGAACTATGAGGTACATCTGGACACTGTAACACTCTATGGAGAGACAGGAGGAGAAGACAGGAGATTCGCAGCACGCTGTGCAGGCTTCCTGCACAAACCAGGAAGGTTTTATGCAGCAGTGGACAACAGGAGACCCTGTCTCAAACAAGTGGAAGGTGAAGACTCACATTGGAGGCTGTCTCCTGACTTCCATACATGTACCTGCATGCTCGCGCACGCACACACACACACACACACACACACACACACACACACTTGTTAAAATCCCATGAGAACGGGTCTAGAACATCACCATCTTTGACTGCTGCATGCACCAGACCTGGGCTCAGCCCTGAGGACACAGAGTACCTCAGAGGAGACAGGATGCAGAACTGCTCTGGGTCCCCTGCCAAACATATAGAATCAGGGATGTAGGATGTAGAGTTTGTTTGGGAAACACCTGCTAGGGCCAGGTATGGCCAGAGTGGCAATCTGTCCATCCTTCAATAGGGGGACTCCAAAGCCCAGCCACATGACCTTGGACTGGTCATACAACTCCTCTGACAGGTCACACAACTTCTCCGTGCCTTCGTTCCCTGCCCACCCATGGGAGTCATGCAATCTGCAGTCAGAGAGGTCATTGGGGGCTGGGAGAGTTAACATAAATTTGTACGGGTGAAACACTCTGGGAAGTATCTGGTGTTCAGCAAGCAGGTCAGGAAATCTCAGCTGCTGTAGCTCCTGCCATCTAGAATCACAACACTATGAGATCAGCCTCCATGCCTCCTTTTCCTAAGCTTAATTCAGAACTGGGGTCTCCAATCCTAATCTGCTCTGTGTGGCCAGAGGGGCCCTTTCAAAAGTCATCTTCTTGGCTGGAGGCATAGCTCAATGGTAAAGCACTTTCCTAGCATGCATAAGGCCCCTAGATTCAATCCTCAGTATCTCCTCCCCACCCCAACAAACAAACAGCAAATAAAAGTTGTTTTCTTGCAAGCTTTTCCAAGCTTCCTTCTTGAGATTTTTAGATTCAACTGGTCTGTGCCCAGGGCCTGTGGCTTCTGGCATTCCTCTCAGTGGACAGGACTGAGCAGGACTCAGGGCCTGAGACCTCAAGACAGGATCAAGGCATCCTTCCTTCTCTGATGCTTCCAGAGTGGGCAAGCAGAGGGAGAGGGGTGTGTGTTTGTGTGTGTGTGTGTGTCTGTCTTGGGGGTGCAAGTGGCAGGGCACAGGTGGAAGTCAAGGACACTGTGGGAAGACTGAGATGAAGCCATGCTGGGAGACCATGCCCTACTGGGATTGGCTAAGGTGGTGAGGGGCTACTGTGCAAACCCACCCGACCCCATTGCCTGGCAGAGAGGATACCTGGCAATGTCTGCAGGCAGACTTTTTTTTTTTTTTTGTTACTAAGTCTCACTATGTAGCCCTGTCTGGCATGGAACTCACTAGCTAGCCCAGGTTGGTCTCACACTTGGGGTGATCCTCCTGAAGATGCTGCTACAGCAAATTCTGAAATGTGCAGCCCCCTCCAACAGAGAGAGACTCCCAACCTCCAGAATGTCATGGGTGAGGGCTCTGAGGAAAAAGAGGCATCCTGATGTGAACAGCAACAGGCACAATGCTGTGCGAAAGACCATTGTCACCCAGCCAGCTCCCTCCTGTACATCGTTCCCCAAGCCAGCTTCACTTCCTATTTCCTGAGCATGTACTTTGTGTCCGATGGTGAGGAGTTTAACCAGGGTCCCTCATGGAAAATCTTGTATCTGTTTAACGTGACTTTCTTGACATCACTGACAAGCACATTCAACATGGACCTTGCTTTCTCAGAATGGCAGAAAACCCGGCATTTTGTGGTGGCGACACACATTTGGTTTCTAACTCCTCCCTGTGTGGCAGGAGCTGGCTGGAGGGAAGAAAGTGCCAGAATGAGGGCTGGGGGGATGGCTCTGTGGGTAAACACCTGCTGTGCAAGTATAAGGACCCAAGTTCAAATCCCAAGAACACAGAAAGCCAGGCAGGGTAGTGCATCTGTAATCCCAGCACTCCTGTGGAAAGATAGGAGGAAGAGACAGGACAATCTCAGAAACGAGTTTTCAGCAGCAAACAAAGAGACCATTTTAAGCAAGGTAGAAGGTTAGGACCAACACCCAAGATTGTCATCTAACCTCTACATGTGCACTGTGGCATGCATGTGCCCGCATTCACACACAAGGCACATACACCATACATACAGCACAAAATAAATGTAAATATTTCTTTAAAAGAAAGTGCAGAGTGTGTGTCAAGCCATTTCAGAGTCATTTAGACAAGTCTCAGTGACCAGTGGGGTGTAAGAAGCAAGGGACAGGGGCTGGAGAGATGACTCAGCAGTTAAGAACACTGACTGTTCTTGCAGAAGACTTGGGATCGATTCCCAGCACCCACATGGCAGCTAACAACTGTCTGTAACTCCAGTCCCAGGGGATCCGACAGCCTCTTCTGTCCTCCGCAGGCATTGCACGACACAGGTGCACTTACCTACACACACACAGGCATAACACTCATACACATAAAATTTAAAAAAAAAAAAAAAGCCGAGTGAGGTGGCGCACTCCTGTAGTCCCAGCATTTGGGAGGCAGAGGCAGGCGGATCTCTGTGAGTTCAAGGCCAGCCTGGTCTATATAGTGAGTTCCAGGATGGCTGGGGCTACAGGGAGACCCTGTTTCAAAAAGACCAAAAATAAATAAATAAATAAATAAAAATAATTTTTAAAGAAGAAGCAAGAGGCAAAGAGGCACCCAGGTAAACTGAGGCTTCTGTGCCTGTCATCAAGAACGGATGAGCTCATGCGCTTTGGGACAAGCTACAGTGCAAGGTACTTATATTTTATCACTCAGAGATGCCCCAGAAAGCCTCTTGTCTTGTTTCCCATAGCTGCACTCTTACGTGGCTTAGAACAAACACAAATGCATGCTCTCACTCTTTGTAAGAACAGAAGTCAGCATCACTGGCTCCTCTAAGTCAAGGTATCTACAGAGCTGTGTCTCTCAGAGCCCTCAGGGAGAGACTGTGTCTTGCCTCAGTTTCTGGGGGCTGCCACTGCCCCTGGGCTTGTGGCTACATCCCTCCAGTCTTCTCTTCAAGGCCAGTATCTTCAACTCTGTCTTTGTACTGCTTCCTTGAGTGCGTGCATGCGTGCGTGCGTGCGTGTGTGTGTGTGTGTGTGTGTGTGTGTGTGTGTGTGTATGAAGTCATCTTCCTCTCTTTTAGAAACACATGTTATTGCATTTGAGGCCAACCTGGATAATCCAAGATCACTTCCTCATCTCTTTAACTCAATCCTATCTGTAAGGATTTTTGTCACCTAAGGTAACGTTTACTTTGGCTTTTCTTTTATTTGTTTTTGTTGTTCTGTTTTGGTTTTGGCCAATACCGGTGATCAAATTCAGAGCCCTGTACGTGCTCTTGGGGAGCTGATGCCCTCTTTAAATGCTTTACCAACAAATCACACCTCCAACCCTTGGTTTTTGGGGTTTTTTTTTACTTATTTTTATTGTTTTGAGACAGAGTCTCACTTTGTAGCCCAGGCTGGCCTTGAACTCATGATCCATCTACCTTTACTTCTTGAGTGCTGGGATTACAGATACATACCACCACACACACTGCCATTTACAAATTTCAGTATTAAGTATCTTTGGGAGCCAGCTATGGTGGCATATACCTTTAATTCCAGCACTCAGGAGGCAGAGGTAGGCAGACATCTGTGAGCTCCAGGCCATCCTGGTCTACATAAGTGAGTCCAGGCCAGCTGGGGCTACAGGGAAAACCTGTTTTGAAAAAGAATAGAATCTTTGAGGACCATGTAGGTCCTCAGAGCTCAAACTCAGGCCATAAGGCTTGGCATCAAGAGCCTTTCACCTGCTGAGCCATCTCCCTGGCCCTAATTACTTCTTTTTAATTAGAAATAAAAGTGTGTAAATAAGGGCTAAGGTGGCTCAGTGTGTAAAGGTGCTTGCCACCAAGTCTGACAGCCTGAGTTCCATCCCTGGTAGAAGGAGAGAACTGGTGACCTACAAGTTGTCTTCTGACCTCCACACGTGCTTCATGGCATATGTGTGCACACATGCATGTGTGCATGTGTGTGGGTGCACATACACACAAAAATAAATAAATGTAAAAAATAAAATAATAGAATAAATGGCTGGCTAAGGTGTGACCCAGTGGTAGAGCACTTGCCTAACATACAGAGACTCAGGGTTTGAGCCTCAGCATTACAAACAAAACAATACAATAAAAGGAAAAAGTCACAAAGAACCTCAAACCCCAGGGTGTAGAGATGGCGGGTAAGACGGAACCTACCTTGGGCACAGCTTCTGCCCCTTCAGACTTTTAGATGCCAGGTGTGAGGCCTGGCTGCTACACAGTAGGTGCTCATTAAGTGCTGACTGCATGACCAAGTCTGGAGGCAGTGGCTAGCTTAGAAAAGAAAGAAAATCAGAGAATCAACCAGGGAAAGCTCACCTTCCATGCCTGCCCAGTCAGTGCCAGGACCTCAGCCCAGGCTGAGAAAGTACCCGCGGGATGCCGCATGCACCATGCTGGCCAAACATGCTGTCAGTGCTTCCTCCTCTTCCCATAACTCTACCTGTGCTCAGCAGGGCAGGCTGCCAGGCCCTCCCTTACTGCCTGGTAAGAACTTTGGGGTGTGGAGCCATTTTCCCAGCTCCAGATCAAGGTTAATGTGAACTCACAGTTCTGATCCAAACCCAGAATAAGACCACGTGGAGATTTGGCTGGGCATCTGTGGAATTCAGAGTTTCTCTAGTCATTCACCAGCTTGAAGGGAGGCGTGTCCCCGATGACACCCACAATTTTTGCTTGGTTGTTCCATTGCTGATGGTCTGAAGACTACTGGGTTAACGTGGGTCCCTATACCATGGTATTACTGGAGAAATGCAGATTTTTTTTTTAATTCTATCAGGGGGCTGGAGAGATGACTCACTGCTTTATACACTGCGCTTGCAGAGGACCCAGGTTCAGTTCCCAGCACCTACTTGGCAGCCAACAACTATGCATTAACTCCAGTTCCTAGGGATCTGATGCCCTCTTCTGACCCCTGCAAGCATTGCATAACACGGGTGCCTTTACATACATGCAGGTACTACACGCATACACATAAAATAAAAACAAAAAATTTCAAAATTCAGTCAGCTGAACATAGTGGAATACTTAGAACCCCAACCTTGGGAGGCAGACGTTGGAAGATCATCATAAATTCAAAGCCAGCTTGGTCTGCATAGTGAGTTTCAGGCCAGCCAGCCAGGACTGTATAGCAAGACCCTGTCTCACAAAACAAAACAAAACAAAACAAAACAAAACAAAACAAAACAAAACAAAAGCCAAGCCAAGCCAAGCCAAGCCAAGCCAAACCAAACCAAACCAAACCAAACCAAAACAAAACAAAACCTCAGTGTTTTACCCCCAACGGCGATCATTGTGCAAATCTTCTGCCCATGAATGGCAAGTTGATGTGAGCTGGGATTTAGAGGAAACACAGCTGTGTGGGGAGCGATCACAAGTGTACCTCGGTGCCTGAGTTGGCACATTTTATTTTCCTTAATTACTCTTTTCTCCCAGCTGCCTGCCTTCCACAAACGTGTACGGAACTTATACTCTGTGCCAAGGACTGTTCTGGATTGAGGGATGAAACAGAAAATAAAATAAAGTCTCAGTCCTCAGTCCTGGGCTTGACATTCTATCGGGGGATGAGGGCAGTGAACAGCGAAGTTGTGTAAATACTGAGGACAGGGTGACCTCAGAGAAGGTGATGTTTGAACAGGTACTCAGAGGTGAGGAAGGAGCACAGAGAAGAGTCAGGGAAGAGTGAAAGGGCAGAGCAGACATGTGCCAAGGTCCTGTGGTAGAAATGAACAAGATTTGGCTGAAGAGCAAAAAGAGCCAGCGGTCAGGCTGGAATGCAGGGGGGCGGGGGTGCTGGTTAGAAGGATCCAGGAAGTAGCCTGGGGCCAGACCACACAGGCCTTGGAGGCCTGGGTAAGGCTGTGTGTACAAGGTTTCCAATGGGAGACTCTCTTAAGTGTTCCTACCTAGAGTGCCATCTTAGCCAATGAGAGGAAGCCCGGAAGCAGATCTCAGCACCAATACTGGTTCTACTGGGCGACCCCACCCTTCCAGGGACATCTGGCAATAACCAGAGCCACTTCTGGTTCTCTGACTGGAGAAGACCCAGTGGGTGGAGGCCCAGTACAGCCCATGGGCCTGTCTGAGTCTGTTTCATGTGGCTGTAACTGAAGTGAACCTGGGCAACTTGTAGAGTCCAGAGTGTACCAGCAGGTAGCTCTGGAGTCTGGAAGTTCAAGGTCATGGCACTGGTGTCAGGGAGGGCTTCAGGCTGTGTCAACCCACAGCATCCAGAAGGGTGAGAGGCAGCAGAAGAGGGTACTGAACTCACTTTTAAAACAAACCTGCTCCCACAAGGCCATTGATCCAGGCCACAAGGGCGGGGCTCCTCTCACAAGACTCCTCCCACACTGCTACAGAGGGGTAAGTTCCCAACACACACGACCATTGCGGACACATTCAAACTACAGCTGACCCCAAATGTCTCCACGGCCGAGGTTCACAAGCCCTACACACACACACACACACACACACACACACACACACACAATCTGAAAGACTACACAAGACAGTTCTAAGAGGCCATTTAACCTACTTCAGGTACATGACAAAAGGCTGCTGTGGAGCCTTTGTTCTCCCGCCCCTAGCGCAGGCCCAGCAAATATTGTCTGTGAATTGCTGAACTGTAAATAATTTAGGCTTCTGGGGGATCAAGAAGTCTCTGTCTCTTCGTCATAGAAGGAAAACATGCCAATGATACGGGAGCCAGTGGGCACGGCCATGTGCCAATAAAACCTTATTTATAGGTTTTATTGGCACATGGCCAAATAGCCAGATTTGACCAGTGGGGTTTGGTCTGATAACTCTGCTCTAGGGGGTCAATTAAAGAAGTGGAAACAGGTTGAAGGGCTTAGAGTGGAGATGCATGGAAGGGTTAAAGAGGAGTTCCCATCTCAACAAAGCCTACCATCTACACTGGGGCCTATAAACCATGGCTCCTGGCTCAGTTCTGGCTGCTGTCTGTTGTCATAAATAAAGTTTTATTTGTATCTGTATTATCTGTGGCTGCTTTGACACAGATGACAGGAGTTAAGTAGCTACCAGGGGGACCATCTGCCCCTCAAAGCCTGAAATCTCTGCTCCCTGGCCCCTGGCAGAGCCTGTTTGCTGGCCTCTGTCCTTCACAACTCTCCTTGTATTCAAAGAACATTATTTAGGGGCTTCGGGTAGACCCAGGGCCACATTCACAAAAGCTCTGAGAACAAACACAGCCCTGAAAAGAATATTTTTAATAAAGTAAATAGGGCAGAAGCCAAAAACAAAACCAAAGAACTCTTAGCTCTGCACCCTGGAGGGGCTCTGACCACAGTGACGCGGGAGAAGCAAGTTCACAGCTAAGACGCACTCCACAAATGTTAAGATAACAAGAACAATAAATAGTAATAAAACACAAAGCCCCGCACACGGCTCCACAGGCTGGACCTCCCAGGGTTTTGAGCTCTGGAGCTGGGAGGTCAGGCTTGGCAGCAGCTCTGCAGAACCTACAAGAGCTCAGTGGGACTAGAGAGGAGGAAGTTCAAGTTTGAGCAAGCGCTGGGAAAGACAGCCTTGCACCGAGATGTTACCACCCACCACGTAAAGAGACCCAGGTCCGAAGACCACCACTGATCGTCAACACCCTCCAAGATGGGGCTGGGAGATGGTCCAGTCAGTAAAATGTAAGCTTGAGGACCCGGATTCAATCCACAGCACCCACATAAAAGCGGGATGCGGCACCTGTAACCCTACTGCTAGGGAGAGCAGAGGTATATCCCTGGGACTCACTGGCCAGTCAATCCAATAAGCTTCAGGTCCAGTGAGAGATCCTGTCTCAAAAAATAAGGGGCAGGTCTGGAGAGATGGCTCAGCAGCTAAGAGTGCTTGCTGCACAATCATGAGGGCCAGACCGCAAATCCCAGCACCCACATAACAAGCCAGGTAGCCCACGAATGCCTTGTAACTCCATCTCCAAGAGATCTGATGCTTTCTTCTGGTGGGTGTGCACACACAGACACACAAACACACATATACACACATACACACAAAGATACACATACATAGACACGCATGAACAAACACACAGAAATATACAAACACATATGCATACACACAGAGAGACACATACATTCCCCACTGACATACATAAACACAGACACACACATAAATAAAACAACTCTTAAAAAATGAAGTGGGGGAATGGAGAGATGGTTCAGTGGTTAAGAGCATTGACTGCTCTTTCAGAGGACCCAGGTTCGAAGCCCAGCACTCATATGGCTAACAAAAGTCTGTCACTCCAGTTCCAAGGGATCTGACACCCTCTTCTGACCTCTGTGGGCACTGTACAACACAGGTGCACTTACATACATGTAGACAATATGCACATACACAAAAATTAAAATAATAAAATATTAAAAAAAATAAGGCGGGAAGCAAAAGGAAGATACACAGTATCCACCTCTGGTCTCCACACGCAGATGCATACATATGCACACACACATACACATGCACACACATGCACAAAAACCCTCCAGGGGTGCTTAGCCAGCCTGAATGCTGAAAATTTCTGTATTAGTTTGGTTTCTATTGCTGTAATACAACACTCTGACCAAAACCACCTGGGAGAGAAAGGGTTTATTTGGTTTACACGTCCTGATCACAGTTCATCATCAAGGGAAGCCAGGGCAGGGGCTGAAGCACGAACCATGGAAGAACACTGCTTCCTGGCTCACACCTCTGGCTTGTGCTCAGCCTGCTTTCTTACACAACCCAGGACCACTGCCCAGAGGTGGGACCTCCCACATCACTCAACAATCAAGAAAATGCCTCACAGACATGGCCACAAGTCATTCTGATAGAGGAAATTCCCCAATTGAGGCTCCCTCTTCCCAGGTGTGTCAAGCTGACAACTGAAGCATCCGGCACAATTCCCTGGTCTCAGGCATACGAGATCCCACAGGGCAAGCCTTCAGGAAGCCCCAGGAGCCAGCTCAGTGTTTCTGCCTTGCAGGACCCCCCCCAGGCCCACCATCAATAGCTAGTACTCGACTAGATGGTCCTGGTATCTCCACCTCTACCCAAAGAGACAAGCCCTGCCCCAGGGTGTCAGGGGCTGCTGCACAAGCAGAAGCAGCCAGGCCAGGACACAGGCCCTTACCTTCACTGCAGCACGTCCAGCAGGGTCCCATAGGCCATAGGAGTGAAG